CCAACCTTGATTAGTCTGAGCAATATGATATCCTATAACACCATAATAAGAGGAAACTTTAGCATTCCTCTTACAGAGCTGGATAGATCCACTAAACAGAAACTAAACAAAGATACAAGGGACATAAATGTGACCCTAGAACACCTGTGCTTCATAGACATATATAGAACACTCCATTCCAAAGCTAAAGTATATACGTTCTTATCATAAGCCCATGTAACATTCTCCAAAATTGATCGTATCCTAGGACACAAATCAAACCTCAACAAAATCAAAAGAATTAAAATTTTAGCATTTCTCTTCTCCAACCACAAGGCAATAAAAGTGGAACCCAATTCTAACAAAAACATTCAACCCCACACAAAGACATAGAAATTAAACAATCTTATCCTGAATGATATTAGGGTTCAGGAAGAAATAAAAGAGGAAATCATTAACTTCCTTGAGCAAAACAACAATGAAGACACAAGCTACCAAACCTGTGGAATATAGCAAAAGCAATCCTGGGAGGAAAATTTATCACTTTAGATGCCTACATCTGAAAAACAGAAAGAGAACGCATCAACAGACTCACAAATCATCTTATAGCATTGAAAAAGAAGAATAATCTAAGCCTAAACCCAGCGGAAGAAAAGAAATAGCCAAAATTAAATCAGAGATTAATGAAATTGAAAACAAAAGAATCATTCAAAAAAATTAATGAAATAAGGAGTTGGTTTTTTGAAAAATAGATAAAACTTTGGCCAGACTAACTAGAAATAGAAAAGTAAAATCTCTAGTAACCACAGTCAGAAATGATAAAGGAGAAATAACAACAGATGCCACAGAGATACAAGAGATTATCTCGGAATACTTCAAGAAACTCTATGTCCAGAAATTAGAAAATGTGAAGGAAATAGATCAATATTTGGAATCACACCCTCTCCCTAGACTTAGCCAGGAAGAAATAGATCTCCTGAACAGACCAATTTCAAGCACTGAGATCAAAGAAACAATAAAAAAACTCCCCCCAAAAAATGCCCTTGTCCAGATGGCTTCACACCAGAATTCTTTTTTTTTCTTTTTTTTTTTTATTAAATCATTGCTGTGTACATTAATGCAGTCATGGGGTACGATGTGCTGGTTTTATATGCAATTTGAAATATTTTCATCAAACTGGTTAGCACAGCCTTCATGGCATTTTCTTAGTTATTGTGTTAAAACATTTATATTCTACATTTAGTAAGTTTCACATGTACCCTTGTAAGACGCACCGTAGGTGTGGTCCCACCACTTACCCTCCCTCCACCCCCCTCCCCCACCCCTCTTCACACCAATCTTTCAAAGAAGACCTTACTATACTGAAGAAATTATTCCAAAAAATTGAGGAGGAAGGAATCTTCTCCAACATGTTCTACGAAGCAAACATCACCCTAATACCAAAACTAGGAAAAGACCCAACTGAAAAAGAGAATTTCAGACCAATTTCACTAATGAATATAGATGCAAAAATTCTCAACAAAATCCTAGCCAATAGAATACAACTTATCATCAAAAAAGTCACACATCATGATCAAATAGGTTTCATCCCAGGAATGCAAGGCTGCTTTAACATACACAAGTCCATAAACATTATTCACCATATTAACAGAAGCAAAAACAAAGACCATATGATCCTCTCAATAGTTGCAGAAAAAGCATTCAATAAAATCCCACATCCTTTTCTAATTAGAACACTGAAGAGTATAGGCATATGTGGCACATTTATGAAACTGATCAAAGCTATCTATGACAGACTCACAGCTAATATTTTACTGAATGGAGTAAAGCTGAAAGCTTTTCCACTTAGGACTGGAACCAGACAAGGTTGTCCTCTGCCACCATTACTATTCAACATAGTTCTGGAAGTTCTAGCCAATACAATTAAGCAAGACAAGGAAATAAAGGGCATCCAAATGGGAGCAGAGGAGGTCAAACTCTCCCTCTTTGCTGATGATATGATCTTAGAGAATTGCAAAGACTTAACCACAAGAATCCTGGGAGTCATCAAATAATACAGTAATGTCTCAGGATGAAAAATCAATGTCCACAAGTCAGTAGCCTTTGTATACACCAATAACAGCCAAGATGAGAAGTTAACTAAGGACACAACTTCCTTCACCATAGCTTTGAAGAAAATGAAATATCTAGGAATATACCTAACAAAAGAGGTAAAGGCCCTCTATAAAGAAAATTATAAAATCCTAAGAAAGGAAATAGCAGAGGATATTAACAAATGGAAGAACATACCATGCTCATGCCTGGGAAGAATCAACATTAGTAAAATATCTATACTTCCCAAAGCAATCTACAAATGCAATGCCATCAGGTTAAAATACCAACATCATATTTTCAAGACTTGGAAAAAATGATTCTTCATTTGGTATAGAACCAGAGAAAAAAAACATATAGCTAAAGCAGTTCTGAGTAATAAAAACAAAGCCAGGGGCATCAGCATAGCAGACTTTAGGCTGTACTATAAGGCCATAGTGGTCAAGACAGAATGGTACTGGCACAAAAGTATAGACATAGACATTTGGAATCAAATAGAAAACCAGGAAATGAAACCAACATCTTACAACCACCTAATCTTCAATAAACCAGATAAGAACATACACTGGGGGAAAGATTCCCTATTCAATAAATGGTGCTGGGAGAACTGGATATCCACATGTAAAAGACTGAAACTTGACCCGCATCTTCTCCACTCACAAAAATTGATTCAAGATAGATAAGGACTTAAATTTAAGGCATGAAACGATAAAAATCCTTAAAGAAAGCATAGGAAAAACACTGGAAGATATTGGCCTGCAGAAAGACTTTATGAAGAAGACTTCCATGGCAATTGCAACAACAACAAAAATGAACAAATCGAACTTAATTAAACTGAAAAGCTTTTGTACAGGTAAAGAGACAACAATCAAAGCAAATAGGCAACCTACACAATGGGAAAGAATATTTGCATATTTTGAATCAGACAAAAGCTTGACAACTAGGATCTATAGAGAACTCAAACTAATCCACATGAAAAAAAGCCAATAATCCCATATATCAATGGGCAAGAGAGATGAATGGAACCTTCTCTAAAGAAGATAGATGAATGGCTAGCAAACATGTGAAAACATGCTCATCATCTCTAATTATTAGAGAAATGCAAATCAAAACCAGCCTGAGATATCATCTAACCCCAGCAAGAATGGCCCACATCACAAAATCTTAAAATTGCAGATGCTGGCATGGATGTGGAGAGAAAGGAACACTTTTACACTGCTGGTGGGACTGCAAACTAATACAACCTTTTTGGAAGGAAGTATGGAGAACCCTCAAAGAACTAGACCAAAGAACTAGACCTCAAAGAACTAGCTAGACCTCCCATTTGATCCTGCAATCCCATTATTGGGCATATACCCAAAAGGAAAAAAATACTTTTATCATAAGAACATTTGCACTAGACTGTTTATCGCAGCTCAATTTACAATCACCAAAATGTGGAAACAGCCTAAGTGCCCACCAACCCAGGAATGGATTAACAAGTTGTGGTATGTGTATACCATGGAATGCTATTCAGCCATTTAAAAAGATAGAGACTTTACATCTTTTGTATTAACCTGAATGGAAGTGGACACATTATTCTTAGTAAAGCATCACAAGAATGGAGGAGTATGAATCCTATGTACTAAATGTTGATGAGGACAATTAATGACCTAGTACACAGTGGAGGGTAGGGAGGAGAGACCAGAGAGAGAGAAGGAGGGAGGAGGATAGGTAAAAGGAAGAGCAGAGAGAGGGAAGGGAAAGGGGGGTGAGATCTTAATGTGAAACACACCTTATCAGGGCAAGATACAATTGTAAGAGGGACTTTACCTAACAAACACAATCAGTGTAACAATCGAATACAAAAACAGGAAATGAAACTAACATCTTAACAACAGCCTAATCGTCCATAAAGCAAACAAGAACATACACTGGGGAAACTAACCATATAAATTATTCTGTACTTCTGTATTCTATACAACTGTAACTATACAACTATACAAGAGTTTCTTGTACTCTCAATGAATCCCCAATAATAAAAATAAATAAATAAATAAATAAAAATGACTGTAAACCAAAGTGAGGGAACCCCACAGATGCTGTCATTTCCATAACTGAACATGGCATGCCATGTGGGATCAGTCTATCTCAGCAATACTCTGAAAATGGATCAAGAAAGGAGGTAATACATACATGACCTAAATGATAAAAATGGTAGTACAAGCTAACAAAACAGAGAGAGAGAGATCATCAGCTCAGAATCTATGCCTAACATGAGAAGTTGCAATTTCCCTCTTTTTAAAAGAGTTGTATATAAACACACTCACTGATACCATCCACATAGTAAACTCGGGCTCTGAATTTACCTTTGCAGAGTTCATGACTTATGACACCTTGACAATATGATGTGGTCATCCGTTTATAAGATGAATAATAGCAAGGAATACAGGTGAATTTTTTATCCTTATCTAATGTTCAGGTTAGAAGGGTCTCAAAAATGTTTGGACTATTTTTTCATGTGGAGGAATGTATTTGTTATGCTTAAGTGGAATGTGTTAACCTCATGTATTTCTCAAGCTGTTCCAAGCAAGTCACAAAAACTGGGCAGAATTAATGTCTTTTAAGAAGCAAGTCCTCTTTTCTTGCTCTGGACATTCTTAAGGGAGTTTCTTGGTTCTAGAGGGGAAAAAGAGACTTGTTTGAATTTCAGAGCTGAGAGAAACTTGAGAAATCACGTTTGTGAACCCATTATTTTCCGATGGGTAAATGGAGACCAGCACTTAGAGTGACTCAAAGACCTATAGTCAATGTCAGCAGAACTGAGACTGAAAGATGGCTTCCCTACTCTGTCCAACACACGTTGTCCCTGTCAGATAAGCTCCACCTTATTTTACTGGGAGCTGTGGTAACCCTTCAGGCTTCAGCACAGCTCTGTTGACTATAAGAGGCTAAGCAGGGTTTGAGTACAGGAAGTGGCTGCCAGGGCACTGCTGTGTGTCTGCAGCACAGAGATAAGTGGCTGAGTCTGCAGGCTGGGAAGCTCTGATATAAAAGGAGCTCTGTTTAAGGGTGGTATCAAAGGTGACCCTCCATCTTCCTTCACGTTTTTCGCGTTCATTTTCACGTATCAGTAGCAAGAAGATAAGGCCTCTTCCTGGATCTTGTCGGTACCACTGAAACAATGTTGGGGAATAACTTGTGTAGTTACAGGTCAGAGCGGCCATTTCTCCTTCATGGATGCTCAGGCCCTGAGAATCCTGTTCTATCTTTTGGCTGGTCACCCCTAGAAAGAAACATAATGCCAGAAACAAGAGGTTTAGTAACTATACTGACAGTTGTAAGAATCCATTTTCTTCCCACAGCCCCAGATAGAACCAAAGATGAAGCAAAGTAGATAATGGCTCTTCCCCTCCATTCTTCACACTGTGTCCCTGGATCTCTCTGTCCCCATCACCAGAAAAACCTCCAACTCACAGTCTACTTGAAGTGACAAAATCACTAAAACACCTCCCAGCAAAGGCTCCATTCTTTTCCCTAACCGTGGCCTGAAATGGGGTGCACTCAGCCTCCTCAGTCAACAAGCCATTCTGTTTAGTTTGGTGGGTGTTACAGAGATTCTTCTATCCCTAGGAAGAGGTTTCAGCCTTCCGACTCAGCCAATCAGTGAAAAGCCTGTTCAGTCCCTCACTAACACACACTGGCCTAATCCAACTATATACTGTGAACTTGTTTCCTATCTGAGAAAGGCTCTGAGGCATAGGAGACACTGCCCTCTGGTGTTCAGAAAACTGTTACAATAATGGAGCAGAGATGATAAAGCTTAAAGTGCATGCAAGTCACCTAGGGATTTTGTTACCAGGCAGACTTTTGTTTCATTAGGTCTGAGGTGGAGCTGGATAGTCTGTATTTATAACAAGCTTGCTGGTAATGCTGATGCTGCTAGTTGTCAGACCACACTTGTAAGTAGCAAGTGTAGGAGCACGCTTGTTGAGTCTTGGTACATAAAATGGAATTTGCTTTACTACATATTAATTCTGGATACAGGATAAATGATCAGGTTTCCCAAGGTCTCCATTCCATTGCCTAGTGGAACTATTCTGTTGTTCCCGCTACAGATGCCAGAGGATGTCATATTCTCTATATGACATAAAGCATAGGAGAAAGCATGGCAAAGTGCTAGGAATCTTCCTCAGATGGAGGGAGTGAGCTACCTGGCATTAAACAAAGCAGAAAAGAAATAAATTACAGTGTATACAATCAGGGGACTGTGGTCCTTCTGAAATAGCTTTAAATATCCTCTCAGAGGATATTCTGCATAAACAGGGAAAAAACCCTTTACTGATTTGAGTTATTGCTTCATTTAAACTGGATGTCCACTTGCTATAGCCCAACAAGATCAAGAAGAAAGAACTTTTGATGTCAAAACAGTACTTTTCTTGCCTGTGGAGAAACCAATAGGAGTAAAAAGGGGAGGCTCACTTTTAGTTTTTATAAAGATTTGAAAGTAGAAAATATTCAGGATAGGATATAATATTAAGTAGAAATAAGTTAAAATGTAAATATCTATAATCCCAGTTTTTAATTTAATGAAGAAGGAATACCAAAGGTTAGCCATAAATTGTCTGGGTAACAGGATTACAAAAGATTTTAATTTTATATTTTACTGTTTTTCCTATATCATATCATTAATATTGTTTCAATTGGAAAATTTAATAAATACTAATACTAAAAGATAAGAGATTCCGTAAAGAAGGGTATTCTCTGACAGTGACACCAAGATGTCCTTCTTAGGGGAGAAACCTGAAAGGGACCCATAAAGTTAACCTTAGAAGCAGGACATTTAACTGAGAAATCACTAACTCCCCAAAACAGTTCAATCGAAATTTTCTAAAATCTACTAGGTCATTTTGAAATTGATTTTTTAGAATGTTTTATAATGTCTATACATTACAAATACAATACAGGAAGATTCCTGATGTGAAAGTCAGTGCCCCCTAAAAAGAAGGTGGCTTCAGCCCCAGTCATAGGTTTGGGTACAGGCTGCAGGTGCCTGAGAAGCAATGTGTACTCGTTGCACAGAAGTAGACAGCTGAGTCTCCAGGTTGGGTGTCTGAGATGTTCAGGGAGAGATGTTTTTCCGTCTTATTCAACCAGACAGAGAGTCTTCCGTCTTGTTTCTTCTCTGCATTTGAAAGAATAGTTATAAGCCACTGGAGGCCTTCAGGTCCTTGCTTATACCAGTAGAAGTAGGTGGAGGTACTGTCTGTGTAAGTACAGTTGATAACGGAGTTGTCTCCCTCTCGGACACTCAGGAAAGGACTCTGCTTCACCTCCTCTCCTCTACTTGTGCCTGCACAGAAGGAAAAGTCAGACATGATCATCAAGTCATCATTCTCCAGAGTTTGCTTTTTTTAGTCTTAATAATATCTTTTTTAGCAGTAGTAATTTTAGGCAATCTGAAAAAGGCTCATCTCCTAATGAATATGTACTAAACATCCTATTTTACAAAAGCTCTCAACTCACAATCTAGCTGCAGCCAGAAAAACAAGAACAAAGATCCAGTTAGTGTCTTCATTGTTGTCTCCACTGGAACCTGCAATACCCAGACAGGAGAGCTACTTCTATTACCACATAATCTCTTCCCTTCCCCCAAAGCAGTGGTTTCTTAAGCTGTCTGCGCAAGTGTCTGCATCTGTTCTTAGCCTACTCTTACAGAAGTCAATCATCCAAAAGGACCCTTTCACATACGGTTTTCTGCATCAGCAGAGATGCTCTGCCACCTTGTGGTCGGATCCCCAGAGGCTAAACCAGTTGATCAAATCCTCTTTTATTTTCCATCTGTGAGAAATTCTGACACCAAAAAGCAACAAAAGATCAAATAAAGTTCCCAGTGTGTCTCCAATCAGGAATTATCACGATTATCAGAAAGCAAACATAGTGCAAATTAGGTTTCAGAATGCCACTTCTTCTCAGCCAACTACTGTCGTTTCAAATAAATTTAAACAAATTAGAGATTTTCCATGTTTATTCAACAACAGACTTAGTTTATTTGAAAAGAAAAAAATGCCATAATTCCATCTGCAAACAACTGAGCAATAAAACCATTCCTCCTCATCCTTCTACTACTTTGGGAATTGGCCAGAGAATCAATCAGCGAAATCAACTATCTTGGTTCAGCTTTCATTCAGGAAAACTCTTTGTAAAGGTAGCATTTAGGCACAAAGATTGGCATAAAGGAGGCTCACTAAGCATGTCAGATGCACACTATTGCAGGCCCTGCTTCTCCAAGCCTGATCTGGTTCCTGATCTTGCCATTCCCAAGAAATTGAAAATGCCATGGTCAAACCATCAATGTTTTTTTAGTAACACAGACTAAAATTACACAATAAAAGATGAAAAGGAGGGAGACAGGCTTCCATGAGTTAATAGCATTAGTCCACGTGAAAGGACTAGATTCAGTTGTAAATTATAATAAGAAATCTGACATGCACTCTGGGAGAACAAATTTGCCTCTGGGAGAACAAATCATCTGAGATTATAGATACATGGCCTCCTCACTGCAAAGTACTGACATAAAGCAGAAACACCAGCCTGCAGATTGAGATAAGGGAAACACATGTATGTCTCTTCCAGGTGTGTTTCATTTTTTAATGTCAAAGTGAGTGACTTCTCCTCAAATGGGATTACTGAATAATTATCTGTAGCTGAATTTCCCCTCCTTTTACTTTGGACACTGCTCACTTAGATTCCAAACTCAAAAACTTTTTTCTAGATTGTATTGCCTACTGTTCAAATTATTGTTTAGATATCCTCCTGTGAAAGTCTTTGTCCTTCAAATTCTCTCTTCAAACCCTTTCTCATCTACTTTAATTTCTTGGATCTTTCCATTTCTATAGGGATAAATATAAATGAACCTAAAATCAATATCTTTTGTGATATAATATATATAGGAAACTGATAGTGACAAATTTACTCTCAGCCCAGAGAAACTTAGTCTGACTGTTTTTCACAAGGGTAAGTCCCTTCTCTGTGCTTTCACTTAGTAGATCTCTCACCAGCATAGAAAATTAAGCTAATCCCTCATCAACACGGCATACCTGATGTATCTCAAGAGGGTGGTTACGCAGAATCACATTCCTAAGATAGAAAGATAAGTACATATTGCAAAATGTATGTTAATTCATATACATTAAATAAATGCATTTAAATTTTTCATTTTGAATTTTTTTTCTTTCACTCATTTTCCATGCAATATAAATTCCAGATTCTTTATCACACTTCTTAGTCGAATTTTCTTATACTTTTCTTCACATTTTCAGTCAATCTGTGTGCTTTTGGTACATATAATCCAGAGTTGAAAGTGCTAGTTGAAGTGATTGACTTGTGGCTCACTGTTCCACACATTTACCAGAGCCCTCCCCATATTCTTAGGCTTTTATTAGGTTATAGCTTTCATATTAAAGCTATAAATTAGTTTCATAATAGGGGTGTGTACATTGGATACTTTTTCTTCCATTCTTGTGATACTTTGCTCAAAAGAACATTTTCCAGCTCCATCCATGTGTACATGAAGGATGTAAAGTCTCCATCTTTCTTTATGGCTGCATAGTATTCCATGGT